AGCTTCGAATTGCCCTGGGGTTGCTGATGAGACCTAAGCGAGGTCTCATCTGCAGAGCCATGTGAAATTCAATAAAAACATGAGGCCTACTAATATGATTGTGTGAAAATTCAACCATCAATCCATCATCACCTCAAACAAAATGGGGTGAATGCAGTTTTTATATCAGATCAACTAGTGTTCTCGAAAATCTAAGTCTGTACTGTAAAAAAAAGATAGAGACTAGGCCGAATGCCACCACATCTTGGTCTTCATATCTGTGTGCGGTTGAAAGGGCCAGAGTCTCAAAAAACGCCATACAACTTGATGTTGGATAAAACATGAATAATCATAAATACAAATGTGTTTTGCATTCATGCATACAATACCTAATTTGGAAGAAACCGAGCATGCCCACCATTATTTTGATGGATTGCTCATTTGATGCAACGGTTCTCTTTGATTTGAAAAGGACCATAATTCTGACAATTTGGAAAACCCTGTTATCCACATCACGTATTCATTATATGTCGTCACATTCGGTATGAGTATGCTTCGGGTCTGAAAGTAATTCTTGAATAAGAAACTAGTTATCCTTTGTAGATAAAAGTGACTTAATAACTAAGGTTCCCTTTTTTCCACAGATATATAAAACATACCCGCTTCGCTTCGCTTTGCCACAGTATCTATCATTCTTAGGTCACATCTACACACCCATAGTTATTCACAACCGGATCATACATACCGTAACACGTTACCGCTCCACAGCATTTCCATAGATGATAGTGGGACAAGGGGCTGATGTGACATTCAATACAACCCAGTCCTTGCCCAAATCACACTTTTATAGCGGGATAGGGGGGGAAGAAAACATGTATTTGCTAGCTCAATCCACGACTTGAGCATGTTCCAAGCAAATATTGGCACTCCAACTAGAGATAAGAATTTTAAGTGGCTTGGCCTGCCTGAAAATCACACCTGACCTACAATTTTCTGGCAGAAGAGTGATAACGTATTGCCACTATACGTACAAGACCTGGCTTCAAATCCCGTTGTGGTTGCTGGTTATGTCGAAGCGAGGTCGAATCTGTAGTTTAGCCTAGACGAGATTACCCTTTGGGAGTGGTTTTCATATAATTGTAGTAAAAAAAACCCATTATCAGTCCTTAACTGACCTTGGGCAACTCCGAGTCATTAAATTCCCAGTCCTGTTTCTGTCCTATATTTATGTGAACAGAAGTTCGGCTGGTACATGTTTAAGGGATATGTACATTTATCTTTTTCCAAAGATGATTTAATAAAGGGCTTTTAATGCGGGGATGAAGGGAGTCCTACCTGCCAACTGATACCAGTTCATCGAATTAGGCTGGATCGTGCGATGATAGGCCAAGTCGGGTGGGGGGCCTCTTTCGCGCCACCTCTCCTCTCGTCTCAGGCCCTCTTCTCCCGGTTCCCTCGACAACCAGCGCCTCTGCTCCTCTGCAGCCCGACTATTGCTTACTGCCCCCGGACCCATCTGAAGGTTTATGCCGCCGTAATTGTCTTGCTTCTGCTGTTGGTGCTGTTGTTGCCGTCGCCACCTTCGCTGACCTTGGCTGGCGGCAGAAGCCGACATTCCATCTGGCCACGGCCACAGGTCAACTACTCGAGCCATCTGGCTGGCTGGTCTGAAAGGAAGGCCAACTGACTTCGGTCGACCCCACCCAAGGCACATGGACACCACTGCCAGACAGGAGGCCTGGCAGGGCATGTCGTAGATCTTCTCATGTCGAGGAGAGCACGTGAGTAAAAGTAAGGAGGAAGTATGAGATGAGTGGTAAACGGAAGAAGATGAAAAGTACTCTTGTTGCATAAATTCATAAAAAACAGAATTGACCTGATCTCGGTTTCGCAACTTGGCCGTGTTGTCATGGCGACCTAGTTAGATGCGCCTTTTCCGAAGTCTTCTGCTATAGTAATTGTGATAATTCCCCTCTTTGAACCGCAGACTTGGTACATTAGCAGACGTTTAGATGGATGACCTGACAGTACAACCAATTTGCGAAAACAAGTTCGGACCAATTCTATACACCAAAAAGAGACTGCATCTTGGCTTTCATGTCTTCATGAAAAGCAAATTCAGGAACTATCAATAAATCTTGAATAAGAGTGATAGTCAACCTAAGTTGCATAAAATGATGAAGGACTTTAACTCTTATTCAAGACATATTGATAATTGTCAAACCTAGATCCGACGAATATAAGCAATTTATTTGATTATAATGACAAAATACACGTTTTAGTCGCCCTACATTGCATAGGTCATGTCGAGATGGACACACCAATCCGCCATTAGGCCCTTCCACTTGAAATGACGTTCGCTGTATCAAGTTTATCTCAAGAGCTTCAACAAAGCCCATTATATCCTACTTTTACGACTGAAACAAGAGGAATAGTTACAGTCACCCAATGTCGCACAAGAGGATGAAGTATTAATAATACAACTTTCTAAAATAATATGAGTGGGCCTCACATTTTCATCAGATTTCAGGTATCCTTACTTCACAAAAGGTAGGCTTATTCAGACTGGACTGCAGTTTAGCTCTCGTCTGGATCTCATCGGGCTCGACATGTTACCACCGAGCCCGACTCACAAGGAAGATGTGAATTTCAAAGAAAGCCAGGCTTGTCGCAAATCGAATTTGTGCTGGAGTCTTATATGAGGATGTCTTGTAGTTCGGCAATACGATTGACTAAGTATCTTATATGTGAGCTGTATTCTATTTATTTCGTTTGAAATGATGAAGGACTGACATTCAGATAAATTAAAGTTTCGAGATTTTGCACATCTTGAGTAAATGTTCTAGTCATCTTAAGCTGCATAAGGGACTGAAGGACTGATAGGTTAACTAGAACTCTTATTCAACAGTGTAATGAGATGTATTCACCCTATTTCGTGTAAGGTGATGAAGGACTGGTAGTAGAAATAGGGTGAATAC